GTCGTCGTGGTCGTCGTGGTCGTCGTGGTCGTCGTGGTCGTCGTGGTGGTTGTCGTGGTCGTCGTCGTGGTCGTCGTGGTCGTGGTGGTGGTGGTGGCGGTCGTCGTAGTAGTAGTAGTAGTAGGAGCAGTGGTAGTAGTAGTACTAGTAATAGTAGTGGTGGTAGTAGTAGTATTGTAGTAGTTGTTGTTGTTTTAGTACTACTACTACTACTACTACCACTACTACTACTACTGCTACTGCTACTGCTACTGCTACTGCCACTGCCACTGCCACTGCCACTGCCACTACTACCACCACCACCACCGCTACTACTACTACTACTGCTACTACTGCTACTACTGCTACTGCTACTGCTACTGCTACTACTTCTACTACTTCTACTGCAACTACTGCTACCACTGCTGCTACTACTACTACTGGTACTCTTACTACAACTACCACTACCACTATCACAACTACCACTACTACTATCACTACTACCACTACTACCACTACCACTACCACTACTACTAGTTGTTCTTCTACTACTACTACTGCTACTGCTACTGCTGCTACTGCTACTGTGACTGGTACTGCTACTGCTGCTACTGCTACTGCTACTGCTACTCCTACTACTACTACTACTACCACTACTACTACTACTACTACTACCGCTACCGCTACCGCTGGCGCTACCGCTACCGCTACCGCTACCGCTACCGCTACCACTACCACTACCACTACCACTACCACTACCACTACCACTACTAGTAATATTAATATTACTACTACTACTACTACTACGACTACGACTACGACTACGACTACTGCTACTACAACAACAACAACTACTGCTACCACTACTACTACTACGACGACGACTACTACTACCACTACTACTACGACTACCACTACCACTACCACTACCACTACCACTACCACCACTACCACTACCACTACCACTACCACTACCACTACCACTACCACTACTACTACTACTACTACTGCTGCTGCTGCTGCTACTGCTACTGCTACTGCTACTGCTACTGCCACTGTCAATCATCTCCTAAAAGTTTCTTGCTCCTTCACCTGCCATGCACCGCCATGCATCTAGCCATGCAATCTCGTTCCGCGCCAAAACTATATGATGCGTGAAAATGCCACACGCCCAGCGCCCAACGTTGCTGTCTGACACCGCACAAAAAGTTAACTTCCAGTGCCCTCCCTCGAGCCTGTCCGCCTCCCTTTGTCAGCCCTTGTCCACCATGTCAACATCCTTTGCAGCCCGCCTTTCACCATGCCTGCAGCCAGTCTAGTTCTGGGCTATGTGTTGCAAAGCCGCCCGTTCAGTCTGAAGCCGGTCCAGCGTCGACTTCCACTGCTTTGCGCCTGCCTTCCAGGTCCCGCCCTTCACCGTGCTGTTAGCCAACGCCACAGCCTTATCCCAAGCCTGTTTGCCTGCCTGGGAAACCCTTTTTCCACCTTTGTTCGTTCATACTCGCAAGCGAACTCTTTTTCCACAATTTCAACATCCTTCACAGCCCGCCCCTTTCAAGCCTGTCCGCCTGCCTCGGAATTCCACGGCCTTTGTAGCCCTTCGCCAAACTAGTTTTCCGCCGAAGATGCGCTCCAAGCCGCCCGCGCAGCCGTCGAAAGTTGCCGCCCCACCTGTCCGCCTTTGCAGCCCGCCGTTCGCCACGCCATTTTTCCCAACCTTGAACACCTTTTGACCTTACTTCATCGCCGAATATGCGCCCCAAAGCTGCCTGCTCGGTGCCTAAAGTTGTTTTCTGATGCCAGAAAATATTCAACTTCCACTTGATCCTTTCTGACCCCCCCGCTCAGTGCCTAACGTCGCTCTTTGACGATACTAGTCTACTTCAACCTCCAGCCGGCTCCAGCCACCTGTGCGGAAACTACCTCCGACAGGTTTCGGCTCAATGTCAAACATGGCTTTCTGAAACTGGTACATTAAACCTCTACTGTAGTTCCATCATGGTCTTCGAACAACCAATTCGGACAACCACCGTTCCCCTGCTGGGGTCGGCGGATATGTACACACACACAGATTCAGATTGTTTATAATTTGTCAGCTTTATACATTATGTATTTATAGTTACAGTATTTATACAATTCACACTAAAGTAGCCTGACATGCCTGATTTAGAAAATGGGAGATTCTCGGGCTTTGCTCTGAGGTTCGACTCAAGTGGCAACATTTGTTGCATGCCCGTCACCTGAAGGTCAGAGGATCGGAGACGAAATCAGCGGTCGCAGTTGGTGTTGAGAGGTCGAGGGCAAGAGGCTGCCAATGCAAGCAGCTCGGCCACAGGACTCTGTGACTTGGCCTCTCCATGTGGATGTTTTTTGGATCAGGTACAAGACCGTCAATGTGTACTTGGCAAGTATGTTTGTATAGGAGTGGGGTGCCTGCTTGGACGACAAAGCTGATCGTGCGCACATTGCACTCTCAGCTGATTTGGTGAAGCTCTCATTCTTCTGCGCGTTGCAAAAACAAGAATCAGATGAAGTCAAATGACCAATGCATTCTACGGTTCAGTGAAGATGTGACATTCCTAAGGCTCAGATTGATGGACTCATTGTGACCCTTCAGAGCTCAGTTTCCTCTTCTGCAAATGCTACGCTGCTTCCCCAGGGCTTGGTGCGGCTAACATAGGGTCCTGACAGCACGAATAGCACGAGATCAGGAAATTGTGCTTCCATACCTTTGTCTTAGAGCAGCAGAAAGATTTTATCGTGAAGGCTGGCAAAGTGCCTTTCCTGTCTTCGAAGAACATGAGAGGATCCATAGAGTGTGCTGGCACTTTTGCAGGGGCTGACATGTGCATTTGGAGACGCATTTGAGACTTTGGACATGGAAGGTGGGGAGGTTGACAGTTTTTGGCTGTCGTTGCAAACTGTGTGAGCTGATCTATGCCTCAACAATCATTTGGTGTCCTTGTAACGTGCTTTCACCGCGACCCCCGACAATACTTTGGTTTTATCACAAAACCTTGTGCAGTTCATGAGTTTTTGTAAAAGTGGTTGCCAGACCATGGACAAGTCCTTGGCGCTTTTACTCTTCATGGTCAAGCTCGTTTGTTGATTCATCGTGCACATCTCAGAGCCTAGTCCAAACTAAGTTCCACACTTCCATCGCTTCTGAGGTCTAGATCCAGCGAGGATTTGGAGCGAGGCTGGCACAATCTGGGTCTGCCCGTTTTTTTTTGGTCCTTGGCAAGCACAGGTCGGGCTAAACTTGACCAGGCGCAAGCAAGTTGTGCCAAGAGAAGAAGGTGCACAACTGATGCCAGTCTGCGCGCTGAGGCCAGGTGCTGTGATGGTCGGCGAGACAGATCTCAGCAATTCTCTACGCCTGGTTCTGGAGTCGCTACGCGTGCCTGAAAGAACCAGCTATAAACCGTGCTACTGAGGCTCCGATACAGGAAACTTGGGTGCTTTGTGCACTCCTCAGGGAGTGGGTAAACTGACAAAGCCACAGAGTCCTACTAAATTTCTTAAATTGCTTTCTTCAAGCAGTGTTCTTTGCCATTGCTGAGGCATAATTTTGCACGCTTTTCCTTGCACCAGCTGCTCCCGGATCTGTCGAGAGTGCGCCTAGCCAGTAGCGGAGTGTGGAAGCACACAGATGAGTACAACAATATATATATATAGCGGAATCTCTCCCTCCCCTGAGGGCGCGCAGCGGGCTTTTCCTTGTGCCGTGAAAGTCCCTCGGGTGACGACGAATCGGATGCCATGTGCAGCAAATCAAGACTCCTAACAATCTCTAAAATTCATGAAGGTGCGATCGGCCATCCAGCTTATAATCTTCCTTTTGGGGCTCATGAATTTGCTTTGCTCGAACCACAGCCATCTCGTCAGCACTCGTCTTTAGGCTTTGAACTTGCGGGTCACCGCGGATCCTGGGAACATCGGTCCAGCTTCGGATCCTTGCTCATGATACATCGCCAGGTAGCTTGTCAAATCCTGCATCAACGGCGATAGATCGGAGCGGCTTCCTTGGGCGGTGAGCCACTGCACATACTTCACCTTGGTGGTGTCTGGAGACTGAGCGAGCTCAGCGTAGCTCAAATCCTGCTTTCCATATTTTCCAGTCTCGATGATCGTCTTGCCCCACTGCTCCAAGCTCTCGATACCCTCGGGTAGGGTCTTTGCCATGGAGCTGCCTTTGGATCGATATGATCCCTTCACACCTGGAGCATGAGTTGGTAGTGGCATTTGGCGAGTGGGAGCTGGCTCTTCATGGTCCACCAACCGCCTTTTGGCGGCATCGGACATTGCACCGCCACTGGAGCCACCTTTCTCATCGATCATCTCAAATTCACAGAACTCACTTTCCAGCTCTGCCAAGAGGGGTCCCACTGATCCCTCCGCACGCACCAGCTGCAACAGCTCGCTGGCTGCCTTAGACAAGCGCTGAGTGGTACCGGCCATGAAATGGTCGGGAGGAAACTGTCGATCGAACAACCTGTCAGTCGTCAGGGCACGGTCGCCTCAGCAAAAAGGCTGCAGATACAACTTTCAATTCAAGAAACGGCTGGCTTCACAAAAACAAAAACATGCATTGCATACATCGAAACACATTGCGGACAATGTATCATTCGTGTATTCCCTACCCCTCACTTGAACATGCCCCTTCAAGTGTTACGCATCCCCGGGACTTTCGGGGTCTTGCAGGCGGGCTTGTTGCATTCGACGTCGGAGGTCTTTCTCCGCTGCTTGCATTTGCAATACGGTCTCTTCGGGGGAGATTTGGTAAGTGGACCTTTTCATGCATGCCCTTAACAAATCAATCGGATCTCCAGTGTTCTTGGTCAATCCATCGGCTAGCATTCTATTTGTTGGGACCCACCTCACATGTGCTTGCATGTGCCGGCAGCTTTCACGGATGATGACAACATCAATGCATGTTCGTCTGTCTTCAATGGATGTTGGAGATGATGGTGAATGCAAATGGTCGTACAAACTCTTACAATCTGTGACCACGATTGGTGGACGCCTTTTGAGCACATTTCGACAGGATCGGATGTCGAGAGGGCCATCACATATCTCGGCCAAAAGCAACAGTACCCATTCGACGGTACCAGTAGCGACCGACATGGCTTGGCTCTCGGCTGCCAGAGTGCTACTTACCGCTCGTGACAAGCGGAAGCTCTTCCATGCAATGGGAGATCAGGGTGCCTCCTGTCCAGACTGAAGACTCTGGTCAGTGAAGCCGAGCACATAACCGGCCTGGGTATGGTTGCCTCGATTGGCAAATGCTGCATCACTATGGCATACTACAGTTACCCTATCGATTGGTATTGGTGTGAATGTCACACCCAAGCTCTTATGTTGTCGCGCTCGACGAATGGCTTGATTTGCCATTCTGAAGTCTTCGATCTTCGGGCTCGGGAACGCTTGCTGAGAGAGGCTTGTTTGCACACTTAAGTCAGGTCTCGTTTGAGATGACAACCAGTTCAAGCTTCCGTTTACCGCCCTGAGGATCTTGATTTGGCTTGGGGTCAACACATCCTGCGGTGAACTATTCTTTGGGATATTGATTGGGCGAATCTTTTCGGCAAATGAACTCATGTGCATGTGGATGGTGTAATCATCTCTTTGTTCATACCATGCTCCACAAAATTCACCTGTTTTGGTTCGCCACTTCCGATAAGGAAACCTCTTTCTCAGTGCTTTGATGGATCGTTCAAACAACTCACCGGACCCTCCTACTGCAGTGTCATCGACATGAACTCCCATCACTCCGCACAGGGAATCATCTTTGGGGTCACGAAGAGTGAACATGCATGGATCTAAAACACTCTGATGCCAACCCAGTGACCGCACTTGTGTGCTGAACTCTCGAAACCAAGCGGCAGGAGCATCATTTTGACCATACAGGTTACCCAAAATCTCAATCACTGCGTTCTCTGGAATGCCCGGGATTCCGCCAGCAGGTTGGCGGGCATAGAGTGGTCTGAACTCATCACTAAGGGGGCCGGCTTCGAGAAAAGCTCCCTTGATGTCTCCAAGTTGGAGAAGCCAACCTTTTGAGGCAATCACTTGCATCAGGGTCATCCGACCGAGCTGGCTCAATGTTGGAGACTTGAGCATACCACGTTCGGCTTTGGTTTCTAGATCGGGATCTAAATGGCCTTGCAAACACCACCGTCCTTTGACAGTGAATGTGTTGTAATCGTCGGGATCAATAGCCATTCCTTCCTCTATGGGTTTCCGAGTCAGAACATATCGACTTCCAATAAACCTGTCAGCAAATTGTTGTTTGATATACTCAGCTTTCTTACCATAATGCACTTTCACGGAGTTGGGTTTGGCAGCGATCGTTTCCCATTCCGTTCGTTTCCCTTCTTGCACCTTCTGTTGTAAGGCTGGGGGATTATTGCTATGGTGTAGTTCTTTTGACATCTTTTTCTTCATATATTCAGCCATCAAACAGTCCCATGACCCCTGTTCTGCAAGCGCTGTCAGTTCCTGACAGTCCTGAACACACAGCACTTCATCGACTCGTTGACGAGATGCTGCGGGTTCGTCCTGAGATCCAGCATCGGGAGACAACGATCGTTTGCTAGAGGCTGACGAAGAATTCATACAGACATCTTCGAGCAACTGTGGCACCACTTCTTTCATAATCTCAACAAAATCATCCTGTCTCATGGCTGGAGGACGCCACAGTGACATGGGTCCATCTTTACCCGAGACGCGTCGACGAACTGGGCCATAAGTCTGAGATTGACCGCTGTCTTGTGGAGGCATTGGGCTCTTATCAACAGTTGTTTCGACATCTTCATTTACTAGCTCATCAGGCATCATCCTCTCGGCTGGAGGTTCCACAACCCTTGACTCTGTGATCTCTCTTTTCTCACTATCCAGATCTCTCGGACATGGCTCAGTGCGAAGGTCTGCTTGCTCAGGCTGAGACTGTTCACTAGGCGGTGCCGGGTTCACGGCGTCCGACTCTGGAGGTGGCACATCACCCTCTTGTGGAGGGTACGCTTGAGGGAGCAGATCCAGATATTGTCGACTCCGAAGGTTACCACTTTCAATGAGATCTTTAATGCCTAACAATTCAGCTTCGGGAGTAGCTACAAGGCACTTTTCTTCATTGGTTGCTGGTCGAACCTGTTCAGGAGCACAACGGATCACCTGCCTACGGTGGATCAACACGAGATTCCTACCTACTGTGCCGAGTACCACTGCTACACCATACCACTGTCCTCCAGTCTGGAGTTGGCCTTGAACCCATTTCTGATTCCGTCAGTAAGCAACGAGGTCACCGGCCTTGAAAGACATGGGTCGGCGAGGTCTGGCCAACAGAGCGACCCGTAACGCACGGTCATCTTGCATTTCGATCAACGTTCGACGTGCCGTTGTTCTCATGGCTTGTGTCTTGGCAATTGCCTCTTCTGTGATCGATGCCGTAGCGGGAACGATGGACAAGGGTTCATTCAGCAAGTCTTGAGGAATGTGTGGATTGCGGCCAAACACAAATTGACACGGTGATAGCCCATGAACTTGTAGCATCTGGTTCTTGATATGAGCATGTGTCACACATTCTAGCCAACCCTTCTGATCCTGAGGACTATAGTCATCTATCAATTTTTCCAACACACGGTTGAACCATCCACCATGGGATTCACATTTACCTAGCTGCCAATGAGCACCAGCGGCGATCGGACGAACGTGCGTTCCCTCCAATTCGGCGGGAACGGTCATCGGGGCTCCCAAGTTCGTGCGAGCTGGATCAAGGATGATCTCTCTCGGGACTCCTGCCCAGGAAATCCAATGTTCATTCAACAGTTCACGAAGAAGATGAGCGGTTTCGACTTGAAAGAATGGGATCATTCGTTGAAAACCACTGGCAGTGTCCACGACGTTCAAAGCTTTGACCTTCTGATTGGGTTTCCAACCTCTCAAGTGCTTGACATCAATCGCGATCTGTTGATTGAACTCGGCCACACGATTCGGCTGAGCGGGCAAAGGAATCTTCGGACGTGCCTGACTCTTGCAGAAATCACAGGAAAACTCCTTAGCTAGACGAAGTGCTTGATCCGATGCCTGACCATGCTTCAGGATCCTGACCAGATCGCAATTCGGGGGGTGTCCCAAGTTTCGATGTAACTTGGCCAGTACCGGAAGCAGTTCGGCATCAGTCTTCGCTGATTCATGACCAGCAGCGTACACTTCATCCCACAAGGAGGCAGGCACTCCATCCTCGATGACTTCGAGCAGCACGCACTCTTCTTGGGCGTCTGGTGTCACTATCAGGACTTCTGACTGGGCTTGGAACTTTGGAACCGTATTTAACACAGCATGAACAAATTGACGTGGGTATTGTCCAGCATACTTACTTATGCTCGTGCCGTCTGGTGCATGTCCGGCAACAACATCATGACACTGGTGTTTCCCTTCATGAGTGCACATCAAGCCAAGACTGCTCATGTCCTCGTGAGACACCAAAAGACGAGTGCTCTTGCGAATGAATTTCTCACTTGATGGGAGCTTGAGTCCGAACCTGCACATGTGGAGTTTGACTGTGGTATATTTTCGACACAGTGATTGCATCTCCGCATACGACCAAAGGCGTGAGCCAGTTGGATGCTCAAACACTGCACGGCCACCTAACTCCATTTGCATACAAAACAGCTTACAACACCACGTGATATACCGACGGCTCTGTGCCTTCCTACGCAACACTTCCCATGGATCCCATTTATGGCTATTTAGGTGGAACCAGCCGCCTTCATCGGTGCAAGGCGGGCAGAGGACCAGGAGCTCGGGCTTCTCGGTCACCAGCTCGTTTTCCACCAATTTCCTGTCGGAGGCACGGCGAAAATCGAAGCCGTTAACCAAATCATAAGATTTGGCTCTGTATCCGGCTTTCTCGGCTTCTACTGCAAATCTAGGAGGAGAAAACACTTCCATGACTAGACACGACGAAGATGCTCTGCGTTCCTGGATGGCTAAGCACGTTTGAGCTTGCTTGTGCAACTGTCGGAATTGATGATGACTGGGACACCATGTATTCGGGCTCTCAAGAGGTGAACCCACATAGAAAAACTCGGTTTTCACATGTGCAGCTCTTCTCAACAAAGTCACAATGGTCTTTTTCTGGGGAGTCCCTGGATCAAATGAGGAATCATCTAACACCCGGTGAGTCTGCATGTCAGTCACACGACGACGAAACACATGTTTCCAGGACGGTCCCTCCCGAGACAACCACGGGGTGGAAATCACATCACAGTTCTCCTGAGTCCACACGGCAGTCTCCGGAGGCTGCTCGGCTGGTGCATCGGCGGATGCATGCGAATCGGTTTGAGCCATGGTCTCGCAGGAATCACTGCTCCTGTCGAGCTCTTCTTCGACTTTGGGTGGATGCATTTCAGTGGAGGCCATCACTTCGGTGAAAGCGGCTGCGGATGAATCTTTCTCATCACCAAGGAGCTGCACCACGTACTGCCCTGCACTGTTAGTTTGCAGCTTCACAGAACGATCAAACACCTGGAGACAATCATTCTTGAAATCCAGAGTGGCTCCCAGAGCCTTCATTGCGGATCGGCTCAACAGGAGAGGCGCATCGCCCCGGATGATGGCAGCGCGAATCACACCTTGTCGTTGTGCAAGCACCACAGGCAACTGTATGGAAAGGGTGGAAGTCTCCACCTCTCCATTCCCGAATTTGAACTGGTGCACTTCATGGAACGGCTGTGGAGGGACCCATCCCCTCTGAACCCAAAGGCGCTTGAAAGCCTTCAAGGTCTCCGCACCGATGATGGTGCGTCCACATCCTGAATCCAGCACGCCGAAACCCGGCGAGGACACCAACAACAATTCCTCGGTCTGTTCGAGGGGTGGAGTCAATGCTGCTTGCAAACGGCGAGCTCTCAACTTGTCCAACAAGGAAGGGGTGTCGAGGATGGAGGCAACAAAATCCAACTCATGTACTGCTGCCGCACCAGACGGGGCTGAAGTCGAACTGGTTCCTCGACCTTTGGAAGCACCCTTATTGTCTTTGGAGCGACATTCACGGGCCCAGTGGCGTCTTCGGCCGCACTTGTTGCAGGTTGAGTTGCGCTTCATCTCCTCGATCTCCACTCTAAATGAGCGTCGCACGTCCTTGGCTTTCTGAAATTGTCGAGTCTTTTGCAATCGATTCAGTTCCTGACGCTTCTCCTTCCATGTTGCCGCCAGCACCTCAGCGACTTCCGACTCTGGAAAGGGGTCTTCCTCTCCAGCATAGTCTGTAGTAGGCTGGTGCTCTTCAATGAGTTGTTCAACGTCAGAAAAACTGTCATCGACACGCTCGCCAAACTCTTCCTGGGTCTCTTCAAAGGGCTCTGCAAGGGCTACCCCAACACGCTTGCGGGTCACGACCATCTCGGGGTAACACGACCGGAGTGCCGCAGAGATTGACTCTCGCTTCAAATCGCCACGAGCTCGGGCGATCACGACAGCCTTCATCTCATCGGTGAGGCCAGATCTATGGAGCAGCAACCAACCCCGAGCCTCTTCGGGGAATGATACACCAGTCTTTCGTTGGCAACGGTCGAAAATCTCTGAGGCACGTGCCGACCATTGTTTCATGTTCTCGCCCTCATTGGACCTCAGGCTGAACACCTCTGTGAGGATCTCGCCAAGCTCATCGACAGTTTCTTGCTGAGGAAAGCGCCTGTCCAAGATGCCCCAAAGGACATCGTCCCCACCCTTCTTCTGGTAGGTCTCGGGGTCGACATGCTCGACTGCTTCCAGCGCTTTGCCACTCAACAACGTGTAGATGTAAGCTCCTCGAGAGCCTTCAGCCAACTTATCCAATGTCAATAACTTGTTCTTGACCCATTGCTTCCACCTTTTGTATTCGCGACCGTCCTCGGTCTCACCAGAGAAAAATCGAAGCCCACCTTCGGTGGTGGACGACGAAGATGCCATGTGCAAGGACCTTCACCTAAAGGTCTCACCAAACCATGCTCGGAGCCTGACACTTTGGCCAGGCTCCGCTACCAATAGCGGAATCTCTCCCTCCCCTGAGGGCGCGCAGCGGGCTTTTCCTTGTGCCGTGAAAGTCCCTCGGGTGACGACGAATCGGATGCCATGTGCAGCAAATCAAGATATATATAGAGTCCTGCCCATCCAGAGGTGGTTTACTTGGACGAGGACGTGGTAGTCAAGGGAGACTTAGTGGAGCTATTTCAGGTTCCCATGCGCTTGGTCCTGAGCTGCTTTGTCATAAGAAGCATGGTAATGGATACAAACAGTTTAGGTATCAGTATCATGGTGCCTTTTTTCCAGGCACTGAACGTGGTGCTCCAGGGACCGTTGCTGCCGTCCAACGAAGCAACCAACCCTTAAAGACCTACGTCGACGTCCTTCAGCCAGCCATTCTCTTGGGATACCCAACTGCTGGAGGCCTCAATAAGCTGAACTAGCAAACAGGGTGGGGCTTCTCGAGGCTGTGCCGCAATGGTTACCCAGCGAAGCTCCTTCCTTCAATGTCGCGGCCTCAACCCTCGCGATTGTGCTCCATCTAGCATGGCATATATTTACTGTAACTATATAATAATCAGGATTTGACCAAATCTATGGTGTTGTTCGGCCCCAATATGTTCCAAAGACAACAGGTTTTGTCCATTACTCATGTATAATGGAAGCACTGTCCGCCATGTCTTCCCTCGTGGGGGACGACTGGGCTGCTGGGTGAAGCTTTTAAGGCTGGAGTCATGGTGATCGACTTGGAGCGCTGGAGGCGAAAGCAGTTCTCGGTGAAGTTGAAGTTCTCGCAGGCCGTCAGAGGCAGCTGCTTTGATGTGGCAAATCCAGGCAGAGGCATGCTTCACAGCTTATCGCTGAGTGGATTGCCATGAATGCGCCGCAGCCTTATAACAGTCACCAACCTCTGATTCCAGAACCACTCTCAGCATATTTGAACAGTATTCTTCCATGCGAACAGCGACAACCTTGGGCTGAGTACCGGTCACCGATCGCCAGTACGGTCGTGGAAGTCTGTCGGACGACCCGTCAGGCGCCGACGCTTGTGGCTTCACGGCTCTCAGCCACCCTTGTTGCTCCTCTTTCATGACGAGGCGAGACTTGGACTTGGGAAAGGGCTGCTTCTTTGTGCGCTTCACGTGCTTGGTGTTGTTTAAATATTTTTTTCTGACAAGCTTAATCTCGAGCAGTATTCTCCTGCTGAACCCATTCGATGTGGAAGCACCTTTTTCCTCGCCCATGTTTCTTCATGATTGATGAATCATGGCAGTTGTTGTGTTGTTGTTCACTGCCAGAAGTCTGAATGCTCGCAATTCGTTTGTCCTTTTCTTCGGACCTGTTCCCCGGACTGTCTCTCCTTTTCCAGTCCAACGAGAAACATTTTCATCGTGCAAGCCTTGATGATGCACAGTGACGCTACATGTACTACAGAAGTAAAAAAGCCGTACGGCGTATTTAGTGTTTATTCCGAGTTTTACTATATACTTTGCATTTTTGAAGGAAACTGTAGGCTGGCGGCAAGAGAACTAAACTAGCATCATGTGCTTTCTGAAGACCATTCCAGACCTGCCGTCAGGTGGTCTCCTTGCATTGGTCATGGAATGTCGATGGACTTGGGCATCGCTTGAATTATCCAAAAAATGTGCAGCGAGCTTGGAAACTTAAATGAACTGTATATATATATATATACTGTAGTTAAAATTGCGCGCATTGGTCGCACTTTTTACCGTCGGGACTTCATTGCTGAGGCTAAATGAAGCCAAGGCAGAGCACCAGACCTTGATGTCGTTTTCTTTTTTCTCCTTTTTTCAGGATGCCTGACATCTATGGTGTGGTGTTCTTACTTGTCATGGAGGGACATGGTCTTTTGTTTTTGCCAAGTTGGTGGAACGGATGGCAACATCATATCCAACCATTTTGATAGCCTGTATACGTAATGGTACATACATTCAGCATTCAGGCATTTTGCCACGGTCAGGTGTTGTCCGGTGTTACAATACATAGTGCTAAATGCCTGTACCAACCCACAGGTCCATTTTTCTACGATGGCCTATCGTTGGTCCTTCAGACCCACTGCAGGTATCACGACCTAGGAGTTGGTCTTTCATTCCAGCCAGGTCCTCCATTGGACCGGGCCTTTGAAACCTTGGCGTCACCATGGGGTCAACCGGAAACTTTGGGAGCCGCACACGCGGGAGTGCGGAGACCTGGCGAAGCTGTGGGACCTAAAAGAGATGTTTGAAGTTAAGCTTTGGGACCTAATAGGAAAGGCCTCCAACCTACTAGCGATGGTGGAGTCGAGGGTGTGTTGATTTCTGAGTGGTTCTTTGTAGTTCCAGCTTGGGAGATTGGGATCAGCGTTGTGCGAAGGTACTGTCCGCAGTACTCTTTCCGCGAACACACCACCACCTGCCGACCAGATAGCTGGTTCTGTTGAGTGTGAGTGGTAAATGTACATATTGCCGGGCATGCGCTGTGTCCGCGAGTTAACGAGCGTTGCGAAGAAATCATATCCAACTTCTTGCCAATATTTGTCTTTAAATCGTACGCTGAACAGGTTTTCACCAAGGGGTGCTGAGTTTCTCTGAAATCGACGCTGGCTCACAGTCCCCCAAGGAATAAATGCACACATGTGAAAGCCATGAAGTGCCAGACATGCTTCGCACTCAAGGCACAAAGGACAAGACACCACTGCGAGAAACACCTTCAATGGTGTTGATTCGAATTACTTGTCACTTGTCAATCGCGAAGACGCTGAATTTTTAGTTTCTATGCAGCTGCAGCAGACATGGATTCACGAATGGAAAGTATCCAACAGGAGTGCAGTGTGCCCAGATACTGGTGCATTGAATGCATTGAATCTCCGCATCTATACAATTATATACACAAAACTTTCTGGCATGATGCAGTCCAAAGCATGTCCTTAAACGGAGGCTGGAGTATTGTTGCATTGTTTGAGCAAGATGTGTCCTGTGGAAATCAGCCACGCCTGCTTCAGGAACTGCTTGAGGATCCAAGCTGTACAAACATGCCCGTTCGCCAGCAAGTGTTGTTGGAGAAGAGTGAACGGTTTTTCACAGCAGAAGCGGCTGCACAGTTCAAGGATCTACAACTTCTACACTTTTGGCAGGGGACGCAAACTGCTTTGTCGAGAGGACCGACAAAGCGGTCGAAGCTGCCCTTGCTCTGGAGTCTTGGAGTCCCAACAAGTCCTTCAGTCCATAAGAGAATGAGGCCTGAGGTTGCTCATGGCCAGAAATACAATATAAACCAACAATAGCCAACAAATATTATGCGTATATATGGTGCCCCCCCCAAAGATCTACCTTTTTGACAATTTCATGGTTGGAGATGATCATCCATCAGTTAATTGAACGGGGAGTAATCATTGTTCAAAGGGAAAATGCAAGGAATAGTAATATCGATTTAAATAAAGGAAACTGAAAGGAATCATTCATCCTTTATTCATTGTTTTCTTTTCATCTTCTATTCCTAGAGTATTGTATTTCTTTGCCTGTCTCATGCGCGAATGCAGTGTTTATGCAAAAAGTCCCAAACCGTGGTAGGGCAAAACGCCCGCATAACCATATATATATATATTTGTACATGTATAAATGTACTTGTGTCATGTCTTATTGTATGATATCTGCGGAAATGCTGACTGCACGTCATTGGTTTCAGGAAAGTACGCGAACAAACGCAGTTGTACGCGTACCGTACAATGGTCAAACCAAGAAACCAAGAACCAAGATTGCACAGACCTATGAAAATGAATCTTGGTTTGGGGTGTGTCCTTTGAGACCCAGGTCATCCAACTTGTGTAATGTACATTGGCTGCATCAAACCAAGATTCCTGACAAGAGTTGTGTGCAATCTTGGTTCTTGGTTTCTTGGTTTGAGCAATGTACGCGTACAAATGCGCTTGTACGCGTACTTTCCTGAAACCAACCTGCAGTGGGTCATCATGAAATAGGACATGACACAAATATATCAAATTATGACATGACTGATGTAGCAATATTGGATGAATGTAGTGACCATAGTCGCATCAGGTTATTTTGATGAAAAACATTGTAGGACTATAGTCCCACCAGGTTATCTTGATATACACATTGATGCAACAAAGCTGATAGAGATTTACAGGACTAAAGCCTTTACATGGGCATTTACACAGACTAAATTCACACCGTCTTTTAAAAATGAGTTTGATAGTTGGAAACATTACAGTGATGACATTGACATTAGCAAATTATCTAGTTTTACATTGTATACGGTGGAAGTGAAGGCATCAAATGTTTTTCAATAAGAAGTATAACTTAATATATGGAAAGTGTTTAAGAAAACTATTGGACGCAAACAATGAACATAAGGTCAATTATGACCAGATTGTTAATGAACTATGGGAAACCGATCTTACTATAGATGACAAAAGGAAAATCGGACACATCACCTTTGAATGCTAGAATTATCACACAACACCGCCCAGAAGATTTACTGTTTAACACTGAGGGAGGCTTGCCATTACCAGAGGGAGTTAGGAGGAAGGATTTGTACCATACAACAAGACATAGAGAAAGAAGAAAAACACATATGCAAAAACTATTACATCTTGAACACAACCAATAGAAATGAATGAGTCAATGGGCTTAGAGATATAAAAGAGTTGCTTCTTCAATATCATTACTTTTCAATGTATGAAACCTAATAAGATTTAAGAACATGATATTAAGGTCTGTTACATTAACTCTTCACTAGGCAAGTGGAGACTGACAAACAAATCAATCAATTGTCCAACCAATAAGAACATATTTAGATATCATGACTTAATTGAAATTCAAAAACCATGAACCATAGAGGTGGTGGATGAATGGGACACCCCCGGAATATGTAAGCAAATTGAAAAACAAAACCCATGCATGATCAGAGCACAATTTGCTGGATCGGGCAAGAGTTACATAGGTCAGTATTTTCAATCGGTGCATAAATAAACAGTTTTGTTTGTAGTGCCTCATAACCGGTTAAGTCAAGAAATAGAAGGTGACGCAACAACCTATAACATATTGTTTAAGAATTCCAGTTCATAAGGGGGATGCACTACCAGAGTTTGATCATAACAATTTTGATGCATTTTTTTGGATGAAATCTCTCTCTCTCTATATATATATGACCAATCTTAAGTTTTAACACTTTGCTGAAAAACACAAGAACAATGAAAACATCATAGGCGCCGGTGATACAAAACAGTTATAGTAGAACCAATCAATGATTTAACTAACACCCAGTCAACGATCACAATATGGTCAAAATTAGGCTGTTCAATTTGTTCTCTGAAATCAGTGAATTTGTCCAAAAGGTTCATCTGATACCTGAATTTATCACTCAACCAGGCATGCAACAGGCAAAAAAGGTAGATCTTTGGGCGGGGTAGCATATATATATATAACTTGCTTGCAGGAGTGGAATCGGACGCGGGCTTGCCGCGATATTGCAGAGGAGCAGAGCCGTCCCCCTTTTCTTCATTTCAGCACCAGATGTTCACAATTGCAACTGAGCAGCTGTCAAAGACAGCCTCGATACACATACCTTTCTTTTGCCCATGCAGGAGTCAAAGTATGTCAGTGGTTTGTTGATCACCTTAAAGTCCTTTGCGCAGCCGAATCGCCTCGTTTGTGCTTTTGGAGCGCAAAGCATGAATCACCATGGCCAGAATGGCCAGGCAGCTTGGCCCGCCCAGAACGCAGGCCTTCCTGGCCTACTCAACCCCTCAGCATGCCCCTTATTGAGATTTTGATAGATGCTTGTGCTCTTTTTCGAATAAAGGTACAAGTTGCATTCCTTTGAGACAATCTCAGGGTCCAGACCTCAGGTTGAAGCACAGGTCATTCTTGTGGCCTTCCAGTGCGTCCGGTGCGAGGTATCGCTTTGTCCTGACCACTGATCCTTCAGTCCCAGATCAACAGGCCAGGAGGGCTCTGGATTGGGCAGCCATCGGAGAGCCATTGGAGCTGCAACTGGAGAGGGGCAACTCTCCTCGTTCGCACCCAGAAAATGGAGGTGAAAATGGAATGCAAATCGGTTCAACTCGGCGTGCAGTGCTTCAGGAGTGCCTTCGAGAAATCTACGAGATCTTTGTGGAGCACGTGATCAAAAACCCTCTCTACCAGTTGGGTGACGAGCTAGACCATTGCCCGGTGTTGTGCTTGGAACCTGTGCAACCAGTTGGAGTGTTGGAGAAGCGGTGTTGGGGTGCCAGGGTTCGTTTTCTCCCTGCTCATAAATACCTCATAATGAGTGCGTCAGTAAGGTCTTCAAGACAAAACTCCACAGCTTCCTCATGAGCCTTCCTCAGATCAGTGCAAGATGTAGTCAGAGCATTATATAAATGAATCATTTCGTGCCAAGGACTCGCCCATTCTTCGCTAGTCCCTTTCAGAGTGTGGTGGCATGAGACAGATGAAAGCTGACAGAAAACATGTCTTCAGTGCACAAGTGTTTCACATGATGAGGGTGCTGGGTTGTTAAGGTGACTGCAAGAAGGCAATGCACTTTTCTCCTCAAGGTGTCACAGGTGTCTGATGGTGTATGTATATACAGTATATATATATATGATTATATATATGTTTTGTGCTACTCCCATTATACTATAAGAGGCCCAGGTGATTGTCTCAACCCTTTCGATAGTTTCTTTGTGTGGCTTTGATACTTTGCATTGGATGCATTGCCACCCTCTAAACTGAGCATGATCCATAAAAGTGAGCAGGCATCGTAAAGTTACATTATTGCTCAAACAGGAGACAGCACTGTCAAAAAAATCAAGAACTCAACTCTCATCTCTGGCAATCCCCTACATTGCAAACTTGCAACAGTCGGTGAAAGTGTAGCTATTCAGAGCTTGAGAGATGGTGACAGCGATCTTTTGGAAGCATAATGGCAGCTTTGCAATTTCTCGGTGGGACGGTGGCGGTCGGTGCAGCCTGATCCTTGGACTTTTCAAGGGGCCCAATAACTCTGGGTCCATATTTTCAAACGACACATGGTGGCAGTGTCAACAGTCGCAGTCGCTTCTCAGGGGCTACTTGCTGTGCTTTCCATCACCTCTGTGCAGCCCACTGAGATTGCACTGTCGTGCCCCTTCCGCGCCGGAGAGTTCCGCGCGCCTTTGGGGATCGACGGTGCTTCGGTTGAGTACCGCGCAAGGTACAATTGGCTTTTGAGCACGGTAAGCAGCGAGGTCATAGCAACACCAGGCAGCGAGGTCAACTGCAGGGAGAATGGGAGTCGCCGAGTCACCCACAATCAGCAACCTGCTGGAGCAACAACAGCAGGTTCACCAACCATACTAAGCGCATCATTGTGGGTGTGGGGTGCGGGGGGGCAGGTGCAAACTTTCAGTCAAACCTTTGAAACAGTAGGCCCAAGAGCCCTTTCTGGTGTAGGACCTTAGGAAAGGGACGTCAAAAGACATCCAGAATCCACAAGGACAAGCTGCCTTGGAGCGACCGAGGGTATAAAATCCCAACATGTCGAGCACGCAAGCATTACCAAATATATAGATATCACAACATGCTACAATTATGTCTTTGGACGCTGTACTTTCATGTACTTTTCAAATTTCGTCAAATTTCCGCCAGGCCTGAAATTCATCGGCCCGTTCAACCGCCTCATCAGGTGGGTGCGGAAAAGAGGGAACTGCAATGGCATGGGTCTAGGCAAACAGAGCGAATACAGTTTTGCGTCATGTCATAGTCCAAGTGTTTTGGTCGTGAAGCCTGTTGGATGGTGCCGAGCCCACATTCACTCCACACTCGCTGCATGGCACAGTGGTTACGGGGCTAGCCCCTTTTTTCACTTGAGGACCGACATTTTCTCGGGTGGAAGTTGGTTGGAGAACCAGGTGGACTTATGACAGCTCTTTTGTTCTTGGTACTTGAAGGTACCCGAAGACCATCCAGACATTGGAGTACGATGAGGCAATGAATCTGCCCGCTGTCTAGAATCTAGAGGAAAGACTGCAATGTGACGCTTGAACTGTTTTCTTTGCTCCGACATTTTATCGGATAACGAAAAGCAGAAATTCTGCAATTGGGCAGGCACAGCGAGATTTGCTTGATGGCCGGACAAGGGACTGCCTGAGTTGGTCTGTCACAGACTTGTTTTCTGCCTCCTTGTTCAATTGGTGGTTGAGGCCCTTTTTTCATACTTTGCAGGACGGATTGCCGTTGATTCTTGGGCTTTCCTTCCAGTATAGACTCATGGCGGACCGCAGGATGCCAAGGCAAACTTGTTGAAGTGCATAATGCCATCAGGACCAAAAGGTGGCTGCGAACCCGTGTGCTCACTTTTTGAACTTGACCTGTGACCTGTTTTCTGGCACAGATTCTGTTGGACTGAGGTTTGCCAGACTTGTACTTCACATACGAGAACGAGATTGGAGATTATGAAAAAATCTACAAGCTTGTAGGCCCATAATTAGGTTGAGTCCTTTTTACATCCTTCCCTTTGTTGTTACATGTGTGGTAGGCATGCACATGATCACTGAACTTGCCACCAAGCCACCTTCTCAGAACTACCAACCTGATTCCCAGGGTCCCTGGGCAGCCCAATCTTGGCAAGGTTCACAGCCTATCAGTTTTTTAACGAGAAGCAGAAGATCGCAGAGGCACTTCGCAAAGCACTTGGCGCGTCACGCCCAAACACCACGTCACGTCAGGTGATGAGGACTAGCCTCAATGAATACTTCTCGAAGGTTCGTTTCGCACATGTCGCCCTTCATTAGGTTCATTTCAACAGACAAAACTTTTTCTTTCATCTCAGTCTTTTTCTTTTTCTTTCACCGTTGCTTCTTCATCTCGATCCTCACATCTCAGAACCTGTTCGCCTCGGTGGAGTCCCTGCAAATCACTGAAGATGATTTGCCAGAGGTCTTGGACCTGGAACTCTTCACTTTGTTTTTGTATTCGGCGAATTGTAAGTCAATGCATAGTGAATCATAGCATATTTACGAAAGCCAGCCGATAGGCTAGGCTTGAGCTTTTAGAGCGAACGAAGTGAGTTAAGGGGGTGTGGTCGTCGAGAGGGACCTTTTGGGAGGGTGAACCCAGAGCTTGGTGGGGGAGAGCGCTCCAACGCGAGGGTCAGAAAAGCAGTGAAAATGGGGTCTGGTGATGCGAGTGATGCAATGGACACCGAGTAGTGCATCATTAGCATCATGGAGGGCTTAGGAGGCTATTTGGACAATGGGCGTTGAGCACTCGAGTGGAGACAGGGGCCCAGGATACGAGTTCCCTGGACAACCCACCAAATCCATAGAGAACTGAAAGTGACACGAGTTCAAGTCCATGAATTTGGATTGAGGTTCGGTGCGGATGCCTGCGAGGTTGACTACATATCCGTATAGGGTTCCTGCCCCCTAGTATATACTATACTTGCACCATGTCCTCGGTAGAGTGACTGGTTCTCGTGGCGTCCACACGCACCGAAAAATGTAAGCCCCCCGCTATGAGCCGGGACACTTAGACTTGTACGGCGCTGTTTCTTCACCCCACTACTTTCCATGCTGCATTTCTATTGAAAGCCGCTTGTTTACTATTCGTTTGAGCCTGTTGTCCATGTACATTCAACTTCCAACAAAGCCGCCGGCGCGAAGACTATTGCATCGCCTGCTTCGTCTTGCTCAGCAGGGCCCCAAACTTTGAAGATCTTCTTCTCCTTCGACTACCTGATCGCAAACTCCTCTCGCAGCCGCGCCCCGAATATACTCGCCCTCTTCATTCAGAAAGAGCAGGCCGCCCTCCGCTTCCTGGATACTACGCTACGACAGCTTAACACAAATCCTCACTCCTTTGCTATCCCAACCTACTCCCGCTGGACCTCCCCTTCTGCGCCGCGGGGTCAAAGGTCCGTGTCCCGGCTAAGACGTGCCCGTTCACTGTTCCAAATAAACGAATGCCGCTTTTCGACGTGCCGGAGTCCGCGTTGCAAACTTCAATCACTCCAAATGTAACAAACACATAACTGCTTCTTTTCAAACGCATGCCGTACTCGCGCGCGCGCCCGCGCGGCGACGCTGACTATGGAGAAGGTCTTCCTGCGCGCGCGCGTGGTATTCCACCGCTCGAACTCAGACGGTATTTCCTTTTCGCTAACCCTGATTTCGCCTTCCAACTTCCATAAGATGCATACCTTCCTGCGTGTGACAAACACATACCATTGCCTTGTTTTGATGGCCTACACCAACATACAACGTATCCCATTTCTCTTCAACCACTTCTTTCATACCAAACTTATCCCAAAGCCGCCCGGCTTGCTTCTCTGCTCCCTCCATCACCATTATCATTACATATGCCCCCCCCCGCATCCGCGGCACCGCTGACTCGCAAGCTGCCGACCCGTGCCGCGACGCCCGCCAGAAAAAGAGACACTCGTCTGGCGGCTGCTGGCTTTCGTCCCCCCTTCTCGAGTATATATATTTATATATGTAAGTTGTTCTATTCTTTCGTCGGAGTACTCCACAAGTTTCAGGTAACTACTAAGTAGAGAGGATGTTCTTTCTTGAAGATTTCTCACTGACTGTAAGAAACGATTCGACTTTGAGAGAAGTCATGAGTTTGAGTCACGTCAGTTGTATTGGTTTGCCTAGAGGCCTTCACCACTACGATTCTCACAGCGGCCACCAGCAAGCAAAATATAACGAGAATGTCAAAGGCGCCCTACGCAGCATAGCCGATTGTCAGTCGGGCGAGCTTCTGCAATTGCCTGCCAGACTTTGGAAGCCAAAAAAGTAGAGTTTCAAACAGCTCGGCAGATAGCAGAGGCGCAGGGTTGTATTCATATTTGTTGCACATAAGCTTTTAAGCTTCGTGAACCTCAATGGTTAAACCGGGCAGGCCCAAGCCAACGTCACTATCCAAAGGGTGCCGGCACCCAGCTGAATGTATGTTACCAGAACGTGACCAACGACTGGGGATCTTCGATCCTTAGCGAGGCCATTGTCGTGGATGTTTGAGGCCATTGGCGACCAGCACCGCATTATGCAAAATGGCAAGGCTGATGCTGCCATCATAGAGGCTCCAGCCTGTCGCATGCCATCGGACCTGGCCAATGGTTCCATCCCTTTAATAGATGGCCAGGCCTACGTGGAGGCCGAGCTCACGGCCTATGGCAAGATTCACAAAGACTTAGGCACGGGGCATTTAAACAGAAGGCTTGAAACGGCCTCGATCCCTATCTTTGGAAGGTCTCTCTGGGGAAGAACTGGTGAACTACATTTGGCTTTGGCCTCAGCTTTCATGATTCTAATTTCTAATGATTTTAGAACAGCATCAAAGCTTACAGAAGTTTACTGTCCGAGGTATGATACATTGGGTGGGGGTGGCGTGTCAGCGGACTCCACCAGTGACAAGGCATGCCCGAACTGAACACAAGGCCGTGCGCCGCTATGCCCAGCTGTGCAGGACTTTGAGATGCTTGTCGGAGTCAACCCAAGTGCGTACATATCGAAGTGAGTCTCTTCTGCCAAGCGAACGATGGCACCCCTCTGTATCACCCCAGTGTAGCTTCCGGAAAATCGTTCCGTGTGAATGGTAGGTTCAGAGTATCGACGGATGTTATTGACTTAGCATCGTGCAGTGTGCGATACTAAAAGGAGGCTGCTTTCTGGATCTTGGGTCAAGAAATAGGTGAGTAGCAATCTTCAACCAGCAAGCATTTCCTTGGAGAAGCCACTGCTCTTCATGTTCCTGATGCAGCCATTGCTCAAGGAAGATTCCCTGCTTCCCCTTGAGCTAGTCAGAGAAGGAACCATTACTTCCTGCTTGTGGTGAAGCGTTTTGAAGAGAGCTATGTTTAAGGTGCGGGCAAGGGTCGTTTCTTTGGACGGGTCTTTGTGCACATCGGCTCAGGTTGTCGCAGCGCTGATCCTTTTCGCATGGCAGAATGCCTTTGCAGGCATAAACCCCGGGTGAAGGTAAAGCCTCAAGTCTTCTCAAGATTGGTTTGTCGAAAACGCCTTTTCGGCCAGCTTTGACCCGACACTTCACGGTCTCAAGGCCAGAAAGGTCAAAGTGGCAAGTTGGGCCTGAGTAACAAGAAGCTACTAGGGGCTCCTGGCCTTACTACTAGGAGCAAGGACGCTACTAGGGGCTCCTGGCCTCGCTACCAGGAGCATTCTTGCTTCTAAGGTGCAATGCTCTTTAGCGAAATGGAGGAGGAGCTCCCAGAAGACGAGACCTCCTTCATGCAGCCTGGGTTCTTGGATTGATGGCCCTGCCAGCCCGAGTATGTTTCAGTCGGTTGGATAGAGTTGGACAACTGGAGCAGGACTTCCATTGGCAGGACATGGTACTTCCGCTATATAGTCACATCCTGTCACCTTTGTTAGATCTGAAAAGTTGCTAGGTATTCAACTGGTATTCTTGCATTTTGGACGAATCTTGTCAAACAGATCTCAAAGCGCCGGACTGCGAGCCCTGCGCATGGGACTTGTTTGTGAATCACATCGATGAACCTCCAACAATGCCACCAACAGCTCCTTTGTGTCCCCAGAAGAGACAAGGCTCTCCACATTCTTCAAAAAAGAGGATAGGGACTGGAGAAACAATCGACTTGAGTATAGCATTCCTGTGGCGACGTGCTGAGGGTGGGCATGAGCAAGCCAGTGGCTCGCCCCCGTCGGACGGGAAGAACGCCACAACCTCAAGATTAGGAGAGGTGCTGTCCTGTGCAGTGCAGTGCTTCTGAACTTATGGCCAGCGGTTGCCGTGAGTGCAAGAATGATGGTACTGGTGCACAACATGTTACCCATTCTTGGGTTTGATAATTGAACAACTTGACGTGTTGCAAAGGGAAGTTCAGTGCAAATGTCGCTGAGAGAGCAAGACTGCTTTGCCAAGGGCCAATTTGGACGCTGATGAAGAGGAGAGTGGTTTTGTTACTGACCTGAAGCCAATTAACTGAAGCTCCTGACTCAGAGCTGGAAGGACGATAGCCCAAGCCTGATGCAATCATCAATTCAGAAACGAGGCCGCCACTTCATGGTCATCCCAATTTGTCCGAAAGCTAGAGTGCTAGAGCCAAGCTCAGTACTACAACCTGTTTCGATTGCAGTTTTTTTGTTGGATGCAGTGAAAGTACATGAAAGCGCTTCGAAGGCCCAAGTTCAAGATGGGAAGAGTTTGAGAGCGATGAGTTCTCAATGTAATGGGGCCTGCAGGCCTTGGATCCTTTTTTGTGAAACATATTTGTTCGCGGCAGATAAGTTCATGAGCTTGTTCTGAGCTTGGAAGTCTGAAGGTTCTTTGAGTGAAGGGTAGGAAGCTTCACTCGCAAGTCCTGAGTGGCCACAGCCAAGAACCTAGTATGATTCATGCCTTGGAACTTATTCAAAAACTTGCTACCCACAGTCCCCTCTCACTCTCGATGCTGGCTGAGGTGAGATGGTGACAGAGAGTGCAAAAAGGGCAGCTGCACACATTTTGCAAACCGTTCATGTTGAACTTGCATGAAAGCTTCTGCTCTCTTGCTTGTTTGCTTTGGAGCTTTGGCATCATGTGAAAAGTGTTTGGACATTACTTGGGTCATGCCACCGTGCCACCATCTTTAGTACAGCAACCATAGGTTTAAGAGATGCTGCATCTCATGTAGGGTTCTCATATCAGCATTGCACTTGCACAAACATCACCATATGTGTGTATATACTTGAAAGACACTCACCTGGCTGCTTGGCAAGCAAGGCTCAAGGATAGAGGAATATCAGACAGGCCAAAACTGACCTGGAGCCTGACAGGAGGCCTGGAGAATGGTCTGGAGTCCTGTGTGCAGAACATTGGCCGCCAGGTGAAGTAGAATCCAGATGTCTCACGCAGTCAGAGCATTGACATCACCCAAGGTCATACCAGCTATATCCAGCTATATCCAAGATATAGTGCTACTCAATGTTACTGAAAAGGGCGGTTGTATTTCAAATTCTGGGTTTTGCCACTGCGAATGGTGTAAGTAGCCACTCGTCCAGGCTGTATGATCAATTTCATTCTGCTCATTAGCCGGCAAGGCAAAACGAGGCAGGCAGCTTGCAGACTGCGAGTCGAATCATTTGGCGATTCCATGTTCATGCTTTGCAAGTCATCGTCCATCAAGGTTGAAGAAGTGGTTCGTCCCATGTCCAGAGCGTGATCAGTTCAGAACGATCAAGGAGGCAACCGAGCGTCAGTGTCGATCAGCACATCCACGAGCTGAATTCGAGCAATTTGGGAGCAAGGACGCTACTAGGAGCAAGGACGCTACTAGGGGCTCCTGGCCTTACTACTAGGAACAAGAAGCTATTAGAAACAAGAATTAGAACTAGAATTAGAATTAGCAAGAAGCTATTAGCAACTGGGTCAAACCCTGGAACCCGACCAGTCCACCATTTGCCGCGAACGACCGACACCAGGTAGGTCCTGCCCGGTCGGCAGTTCCCCACAGCTGGTCAGGTCAGCAGCCTCATCCTCAACAGGTCGCCAAAGGCCGAAGTTGGAGTCGAGCCGAAGAAGTCAGTTGTGACACCTTTCAAGGGGGTTCCTTCTTTTTCAATCTCCTGGTTTTTTCATTTCAATTTCGTTTAAGGAACATGTTGAAAGGTTTGCAACTTCCTGGAATGGCGAGACTACAAGCTGTGCTACAAGCGCTACGCTAGGCACTCCCAAATGTCAAATGCACTGAGTTGCGGTTTTATTCTTCGAGCATTCGTCCATGGTGCATGGTTCATTGTGCAGCTTGTTCTTCATTGCCTGCATCGAGCAAAATGACAACGAGCTGCTTGCACTAGAGATGGCTTCAGCCTCACAAATTTAAGATTTTTCAGCAACTTTTTGACATCCTTGTCCATGCCTTGCAGACCCAAGGTCCACCATTTTGTGGAATGCTTGGACCGCTACTTTGGCAACGTATGTGAGCTGGACTTGATCTTCAACTTTCACAAGGCTGAGTGCATTCCATCGACTCGACTTTTGCTCAAGTCCGCCTTGTTTGCAGGGTCGTTGTTCTTGAATGCATTTTACACATGACTCTCTTGGTTGGTTCCAAGTCTGCTACTCTATATCGGCTTGTCCTTGGTTCCTTCGCCCGCCGGGTTTCCGTGTCGCCTGGAACCTGATCCTAGGCATACTACATCCTGGACGAGATCCTGATCAGCGGAGAACTGCAGGATGTGGCATCAGATTTAGCACTGATTCTCATTTTTGGTGACCTTTGCATACCTTTGGTCAAAGCCCAGATTGAGTCAACACATCGCTTGCCGTAGGAGTCCAGCAAAAGAGCTGTGCTTCATCACATCTCCGAGCAGGACCCTCTCATATGAGTTGGATGTCGGGGTCGTCATTTTGTTTGTTCTTCGTTTTTCTGGATGATTTTGGATGATTTCGGGTGGCTTTCTTTGGCTTTTGCTTTGAGGACGCCATGATGCAAGAGAACGAACAGGCCGAAGGGCTCCATGACAGAAAGCCTCAGCTTGCCAGTAGGATCTGGTAGACATGAGCAGACTGGTTGTGAGGTCACGATTCCTTGTGCTTGCCACAAAGCTACAAAGAGATATGAAGAGAGAAAGAGTCTTTTGAGCTTCGTTTCGCAGGCGAAGCGAAAGGGATGAGCCCCACAGCTTCGGTTCCAATGAATGCTCCCAATTGCAGGTCTGTGGAGTGTTGGAAACATTGTACACTCCCAAATAGTATATGTCGAATCTGCGATTTGTGGAATGACACTTTCTGTCGCGATTCTGACAGATGCCAGAGTAAGCAGAAAAACACCCGGGGTCTTGATGAGTCTTGAGCTTGAGTCGAGTTCATCTGAATCTGGAGCGTATGTCTTGTGCATTGAAAGAAGGAACACTTGCCCTGAACGCCTCGTCCATGGTTCCATTCAACTTTGTCCAAGTGGATTGCAGGTTCATTTGTTCTTTCCAACTTGTTGAACCGTATCTTCCAAATATTCCAAAGAGCAAAGAGCTTTAGCGGTACACAGACTGCGAGAGTTTCACGCACCCAAAGGGGTCAGTCAAGCCCCTCATCTGTGCATCGCCATGGCACAAGATGACGCAGCAGAACGGCACCAGGCCGCTCAGCGTTGCATCGAGCAACTCTGCTCAGCGTTGCATCGGGGACGGGAAGCTTTCTTTAACGAAGGCGGAGGCTGCCCGCTTGAGAGCTGAGATTGAGCAACTTGTACAGCGGGCCTGAAGCACAGGTGCTTTCAAAGATCAGTTGAACTTTGTGTGAATGGTATCAATTGGAACATCCAAATATCGATAAATGATCCCTTGCCTTCTTCTAGTTACTAATAGCAAGAATGCTCCTAGTAGTAACGCCCTTTGTTCCTAGTAGCGATGCCCTTTGCTACTAGTAGCTTCTTGTTAGTTGGATTCCACTTTCGTGCATTGAACACCGCGTTGGCTCTAAGGCTCGGTTGCTGCTCCGGGGCGAGTCGTCCAGACCTCCAGCGCCCCGGGCGCCTCATCCCCGGCGGGCAGAGCGGGACCGGGAGCTTGAGCAGGCGCTCGAGAAGGCCCTCGGCGATTCGGAGCATGACATGGAACACCTCACATAGCTTCTTGTTACTACTAGTAAGGCACTTGTTACTAGTAGCGATGCACTTGTTTCTACTAGCTTCTTGTTACTACTAAGGCTCTCAGAAAAGCGACATTTTTGGGAAAAGGATGGGCTTAGGAAGATGGAGAGCTTTCTTTGGGCCTGCAAGGGGCATTGCCACCCATGAAGGCACAGGGGGGTTGCAGAAGCCAAGTTCATGTGCCAGGCAGACTGGTTCCGACGGGAGATTCGGCGGATGCGGCAGGCTGGTTCTTGCCGCTTCGTGCCAACCAGGAGCACCTGTAAGATTTTACACATCAGGAGCTGGAGTCCAGGGAACCATCCTCCAATCCCTGGGATTCGAGGGACAAAGATCCTATGGAGTTGGGAGCTCAAGAGTTTGGAACAAGCAGAGAATGGGTCGATGTGATGGGAAGAAGATGTGTCCAGCATCTCTGGTGCATGCCAAGCCCATTTGACAAGAAAAGGCATTGGCAAGATAGCTTCGCTTACTTCGCATCGGCCGGCGGCCAACTGGCGAGGTTGTACAATCTTCTGGCTGAGAAGCGAAAAGAATTGCAGCAGCTGCAACGGGTCAGTGAAGGTCTTGAGCACGCTGCAGAGGTCTTTGACGGTTCTTGTGAAGCTCTTGACGATCGATGATCCATTTTCAGAGGTCAACAGTCAACAGTATTGTATCTTTCTTGAGTCTGAAAAGAGTTCACAAGTCTTACTGTACATGATGTCATCCACACAAACCGTAGGCTTTACCCTTCAACAATCATGTATGCCATTCACTTTTGATTGACAAATCCGTGTGTGCCCACCGTGAAGATCTAGGTGCAGCGGAAGGCCGAGAGCGAGCAGAGCTTTGTGCGACCGGAGATCGAGGAGAGGCTGCAGAAGGCGAAACTCGAGGCGAGGCCACTCGCCGGGGCTCGAGGGTTTGTTGTGCCATAACTGAAATAAAGGGAAAGGAGGGACAGGAGTTGGGATTTCTAACGGATGGCTGGCTGGTGGTTTCATCTTGCTTGCAGTCAAGCTTTTCAAACTGACGGGTCAATGTTGAAAAGAAACTGTGAGTTGTCTTGAGTCCAGTATTTGGACAGGGCTGCGCGTCCTCTGCAGGTTGAGCAGCAGAAGAGGCTGAATGTGAAGCTTCAAGCAGATAGGCCTGAAACTGTCTAAGTGCTTGCATCAACAAGACTGTAGGTTAGAGGCCATCGCTATTAGGTGGAGGCCATCGCCAGTAGTAGGTTGGAGGCCATCGCTCCTAGGTTGGAGGCCATCGCTAGTAAGTTGTATGCTTCGATGATGAAAAGGATTGGGTGACCTGAGCTTAGGCTGAAGCTATCCAATCAGCGGAAAGCGGTTGAGGAGGACCTGCGGAAAGTGGGCAGCGAGCTTCGAAGCAAGGCTGGGACCGTTCGCCACCTCTCCATGGTTTGTTCATTAATCTGGATGAGAGTTCAAAAGGATTGAAAAGGAACAATTGTATCAGATAACATCAGGCTGAGATGACACTTGACAACAATTTGACATATCATTTGTTCCATCGCTGCACGCAAGTTTTCAACCTAATATCGACATTGATACTGATTTCCCCTCCAGGCCGCTCTCTTGCACCGCAAGGGCTTGCCTGGAACAGAGAAAGGCAAGGGGGCAGTCTGGACTTAAGCTGGTTTGGCTTAAGTTTCCCTAAGTATCTAGGAACCAAAGAGCTATCCTGCGCCCGTATGTAGTAGCTTGAGTAGCTAGGAGCTTACTCCCTTACTGAATTAAGTAGGCGCGACGCCTACTTGATTAAGTAAGGGCGGGCAAAAGACATCGGCTTGTGAGAGTCAATTGATTCAATCGGCATCCCTTGGACATGTCACGTTCACGCGCAACACGATGTCACAGCTTCAGGGGGGGCGTCTGTCTTGGAGCAGCTTCGTTGCGAGCTTAGGAAGCTGTTGTTTAATTCCTCAACCTCACAGATGGGGATTTGACACCCACAGGGTCTCGGAATGGTTTGCACGCATTAAAATGGGAAAGGGTAGCATTCAAGAGTCAGTTGACATCCCTGTACTTGTAGCAATTTGGGTCAAGCGCACACTTCTGAAATCTTCTGAATGCTGCAGTCGCCTTCGGTGACCTTTTTCTGTCCCTCTCTAGACTCACCTAACTGTACCATCATATGGATGGGTCACCTTACGGAGGCCGAGAGGTTGACATCTTGCGCGGGGCGCTTCGGCAAGATGAGCGAAAGTGCAGAGCTGAGTTGCCCTCAGCGAACGGCGCCGAGAAAAGTGAAGCAAACAACGCTGGCAAAAGTGAAACAACTCCAGTGAGATTTGGAACTGATGGTGGTATGACAGAACAAGTGCAACCATGAGATACAGCCTTTGCCAGCATCACAGAATGCTCAAAGGCACCGGGCTATGCTCAAAGAGGATAGCCAAGAGGCGCGGTCTTGAAATGGCGAGGTTTCCAGTCTCTCAAGCAGTGCAAAGGTGGACTTTGCAGCGGCACATGTACAAAGACGCTTGCCTGAATTGCTATTGGTTGAATGATGTTGAAGCGAGGTCTGGGGGTGTTTTGGCAGAAGAGTCTATTGCATCCCAAGCAAAAAACAGGCAGCTCCAAAAATAGCTGACATTATATACATACATGCATGCATGCATGCATGCATCCATACCTACCTACCTACCTACCTACCTACCTACCTACCTACCTACCTACCTACCT